TTGTTTTGTTTGGGCCTAAAATGCCTTTTTAAATGGCTCTTTTCTTTTTTAAGAAGGGTCATTTCTTATTTTTTTCATACAATTGAAAAATCAAATTTTAAATGAGGCGTGAGCCTCAGATTTAGAAGCGCGAGCCTCATATTTTTAGCCTAAAAAATACCGTTTCGAGACATATTACATGCGCTTCACAGTGAAGCGCGTCTCACTACCGCCTTTTTAAATCATGCCATCAAAATCCCACCATGATTTGAGTCAAGGCTTTGATGGTGACTTATTGTATTCTAGTAATCTATGTCTCTTAGAATAATCAAGTCCAGTACTGGTTTACAAAAGTTATCTTGTAGACGGGTTATATGAACTATGGACATAAATGTTAAAGAGAAAAGAAAGGTTAAGCTTCGACTAAGAGGCTTGACCTAACTTCTGAATAAATCGATTTCTCAAATTTCAAATAACCTTGTGAAGCATAACTTGCTTGTTATTGCCTAAAACTATTAAACATTTTAGAGAAATAATAACTAATTAGTTGGCTACCAACCAAACCATCTGTCATACTTTTTGGTTGGGCATCAATTTAATAAGTATTATCATCTCTTGTGCGAACTTGAATTTTTAATCTAGGTCGGACGATGAGCCTGTAGATCCAAAACAGGAACTTGAAGAGCGATGCAAGGCACCATGTACGCGACCACTTAAAGAATATCAGGTGATTTAGACTGAATGGAAATAAACTCTCATTTTTTCTAATTTATGTCTGTTTCTCCATTTTTCTAGTTTCCTGCCTTTTTTGTTCTTTTCACCTGATAGTTGAATTGCTAAAGCCTAAATGAAATGTTCAATGCATTTTGCATTTTAAGTTTTCCATTTTCTCTCCTTTTGTTTAAGCTGTTACTAAATCTGATTGTAGGCTTTCTTGAACTCCTTGTAGAGTAGAGAAATGCAGTTTAGTACCAATTAAATTATTGTGTACTAGACAAACATCTACAGATCTACTTTCCTATTGCTATTCCATTTTGATACTTATTATGACCCTGATGTTTAAATCGAATGTTCAGCACCTCTAGCACTTGAGGATCAGTACTACAAATGCACGTGTGAGATATGTGATCCACACGTTTTTATGCCAAGGTGAATGATACCTACTTAATAGAAAACTTGAAGAAATTAAATTTCTCATAAAAATTACTCTGGCTGCCCAAAGTATGACATCAATAGCTGGGAGGAAAGAAGTTGGCTTCGATCACATTAGGAAATTATTTTTATTAACTTTTTCCATCTTTCTTGGATTTATTATAACAAATAATCAATTTTTAATTACTCATGTACGCCTAGATTGTGACATTCATTTATGTTATGTGAGCTGTCTAATGTTATTGGGTATAATGCTAATGTCTTTTTTTTTTTAATTCATTTTGTCCATGAAATCTGACAAAAATCTTGTTAATGACCGCTGATAGTATTGAAATGTATAGTTGCATCAAGAGATAGTAATGATATTTGATCATAAGGAAGTGAACACATATGTTTATATATGTTCTGTGCATTATGTCCAGTTGTTCTCTAAGGATGTTTACTCACAAGAACTCGATAAAGGTTGAATATATTTGTTCTAAGATAGCTCAAAGTTAATGTTTGAATATATTTGTTCTAAGATAGCTCAAAGTTACTGTTATTAAGGAATTACTTGTCAGGTCTGGTCAACATACATAAAATGTAACTCAGTTTTGATTCTTTTGAAGGAGCATGTTTTAATTATTGTACAACTCCTTGTAAATGGGTAATTTTAACTAAGAAAAGTTTCTAATGGAAAGCAGTTAATGATCGTTGATATGCTTAATCCTCAGAAGGAGTTGTTTTCAGAATTTAATCTTTCTGTGGTTGGTGCACTAGCATTCTGACATGTTGCAGTATATGAACTAATATCCTTGTTTTCATTGACATTTATGGATATTATGGAATTTCTCCATGCAACTCTCTCAACATTCCCCTTTCCCCTTTTCTCATGCCCTTTCCAACTGTACCTCCTTAGTCCTTATTGACCATTATTCCTACCTCTCCACGTCCACTCACTTCAAATCATCTTGCAATTTGTTTGAGTCCTCTTCTTGTTCAGATTTGATTCTGTACTGGCAACCGCTGTTTAACTCTTCTATGCACACCAAACAGATGAACAATAAATTATTATTTTGATGGGAAAAAATGGAGCTCAAGAAGCTCAGTTTAATGTTGAATTATTTTGGTTAATTTTGTTAAGTTAGGGATCATAACTTTGGACCAAAGAATCCTAAAAAATTCCACCATTCGACGAGTACCTGTGTTTGTATGTGTATTTTGAAAGAAGAGATATTGTAGTATTACTAGCTAGTAGCTACAAGCAATTGAGTGTGAAAACTGGACCTCTGGATTTTTTTATTTTCTTTTTGGTGTTTGATGAAATTAAATTAACCTTGACATAAATATGAGCTTTATATGATATCATAGGCACTAGTAAAATATTGCACAAATGGGTCATTTAGCATAAATATGAGCTTTATATGATATCATAGGCACTAGTAAAATATTGCACAAATGGGTCATTTAGCATAAATATGAGCTTTATATAATATCATAGGCTAATCTGATGTTTCTGATAGGCATGTGCTAAAAGGATCCAAGGTGATGAAAGTGGGCACAAGCACTGTACTGGACAATACTTCGATTATTGGCGATGCGTTGACAAATGTGTAAGGCCATTTTTCCTGTTTAGATTTATTCCTTTGCCCCTCTTTTGGGTATATTTCAATTTTATATTAATATTTTGTTCTGGTTAGCCGCTGACTTTGTTTTTTCAAATACGCAGGTTGCAACAAAGCTATTTACTTATCTTAAATAACCTGGCAAGACCTCAATGTTGTTCTAGCACCAGATAATACTCTTTTGTCCAAAACCAATTGGTTCAGTATTATTCTGTTTTCGTGAATATTATTGATGCTCGTATGCCTACTTAGCTAAATGGAATGTTGAACTATGAATTATGAGCACTTCATTGTGATCAATAAAAGAAAATTTGTGGGATTGAATTTCATTTGCTT